CAAAGCTAAAGCAAAGCTAAGGCAAAGCTAAGGCAAAGGCAAAGCAAAGCTAAGGCAAAGGCAAAGCACAGCTAAGGCAAAGCAAAGCTCAATCTGAATCTGAACAATTTCTACACGTGATTTAACGAAAACCCTTCCCCAATTCCATTTCAATTGTCTTCAGCTAATGTTAATCAACAGAAAAGAAAGAAAACTGTTAATCAACAATAAAATTGATGTAATTTATAGACGATTACAACGACTACGAGGATGTAACAATTCCACCGAATCTCACCGATCTTTTAGCCAATTTACCCGATGATATCAATGCCGATAGTTTGCAGAAAATGTTTAGGTAAGAAAATTTCTTTGAGAAAAGTCAGTAAGGTAAGAAAGTCAAATGGTTTCCGACTGGCGACTAAAAGCCTTGTTTCTTAGTCGATCAAGCCTCAAGCCTCGAGAGTTCAGTCCCGCTGGCTAGAATATCTATGGATTTTTCTCTACATTTAGAGCTTAAGCGTTTGACTTTTGTGTACCACATTACATTATAATAAATATTTCTTACAAGAACCAATTTCAGAGACTCGGTCATCGATCGGAAAACCTTGCTTGAGAGTATGGATATGTTGAAGAAAGAGATGATGGTAGGTGAACAGAAAGAAAGAAAGAACAGAAAGAAAGAAAGAACAGAAAGAAAGAAGAGAGAGAAAGAAGAGAAAGAAGAGAAAGAAAGAACAGAAAGAAAGAACAGAAAGAACAGAAAGAAAGAACAGAAAGAACAGAAAGAACAGATGAGTCAGAAATACTTTTAAGAGTATGTTGAAGTTGTTGAAGCTCACTCTTTAAGAGTTCTCAAATGAAGCTGGATCAAAAAATTATCTAGAACAGAGTTTACTATTGGTCAGGGTCAGGGAAGTAGACAGGGCTTGCTTGGGAAAAAGCTTGATCTGCTGGCTTTGATCTTGACTGGTCTATGGCCAGAAGCCAGGAATTGGCCTTGTCTAGCCTTGTTCAGCCTTGTCCAGCCTTGTCTAGCCTTGTCTAGCCTTGTCCAGCCTTGTCTAGCCTTGTTCAGCCTTGTCCAGCCTTGTCTAGCCTTGTTCAGCCTTGTCTGACCTGCTTTCCAATCATATAGAGTAATTCTTTCGACTTCAGAAAGAGAACGCTCATGTGCTGAACTCACACGCAAGAAGAGTGGGCAGAAGTGGAGAGAAAGTCGATCAGATACAGGTTTATCAAAAACAAATTCTTTCACGAAGAAATAAAGAAAGCAATGATAATTTAAAGGTTGATTGGACATCAGCTCGAAATCGTGATCAACCATTACCGATGAGTGTCGAGAAAAGAGAAGCATTGAGTCGTTTATCGGATTTGGAAAGAACATTGAAAATAATTGGGAAAAACGAGACAGAAGATGAGACAATGAAAGTACGAAGGGAGACAACGAAAAAAGATGGTCAGTTGGGAAGAAGTTTCTGTTTGAAATTAAAGAGATTCTCTAGATTCTCTAGAAACATTTTTGGCTCTAGATTTTAGAAAACTCTAGATTCTCTAGATTTTAGAGAACTCTAGATTCTCTAGATTTTAGAGAACTCTAGCTTCTCTAGATTCTCTAGATTTTAGAGAACTCTAGCTTCTCTAGATCTCTAGATTTTCTCTAGATCTCTAGATTTCTAAATTTAATGAATATTCAATATTTCAGATCCAAAAGAGGCAAAACCGCAAATTTCTGGTCAGCTGATAATCTATGAGTTGGACGAAGAACCGCCAATGGAAGCTGCACAAAGTCTGTTAACAAATCTTCAAGAAAATCTTCAGTTATTTACCGTCCTTTACTCAATCTTTAGACTTTCTTTAATCCTTTTTTACAGAAAAAAAGATTACGATAGCTTTTGAGTCTTTTAGACAAAGCTAGAGCCTTTTAGACCAAGCTAGAGCTTTTCAGACAAAGCTAGAGCTTTTCGAAATCACTTTTTTAAAATATAATTTCTTTTAAAACGATATTGAGGAGATTCTAATCGATATTGATATTGATATTGATTAAAATGTTATTGATAAGAGATTCGAGATCATTCTCTAACCACAAAATTCCCTTTAGAAAGCATGGCCGAATGTGGTCTCTCGCATTCGATTCTTCTATGGTCATCCGCGAGTTTTGGTGGTCTCTCCGTTGCTCTTTTTATTCTCCTTCTCATTGTTTCCGTCAAATATCTTCGATTATCAAGAGGTAGAGAATTTTTTTGAACAAAATTTGCTTAAAGTAGTCAATGGAAGTGAAGAAGTGAAGGAATTCTTTTCGAAAGCAGAAATGCTTTAACCGGGCCAAACTCTGGCTTCTGAGTCGGGTTTTGGTTCTTTCAAGAGAGCACAAAGGGAATTAGAATTGAGAAATGATTTGAAAATGAAAAAGAAACGACGACGCGGCACTTCCATCGACTACCTCCAAGTGGCGGTGACGTCAATTGGAATGCGACGTCGTCGGCTCCCAAATGGAAATAGATTGCTTCTCATTTCAACACAAAAACAAAATTGAAAATGATTTGAAAACAAAAAAGAAACGACGAAGAAAGAAATGATTTGAAAAGAAAAAGAGGCGACGACGAGGCGCTCCCATCGACTACCTCCAAATGGCGGTGACGTCAATTGGAATGCGACGTCGCGCGAAAATTAACATCATGACGGTCGGAGCAAAAACCCATTTTTCTCCTCACCTGTTTATGCTACAGTGTTCGTTTAAGTATCAAATGAAAGCTGAGATTCAGGGCTATTTTTTGATACTTTTCTCGTCATCTGTTTACAATGACGGTTGGACGTTTACAATGACGTTTACAATGACGGCGTAGTCTAACTTTAACCCCATTTTTCTCGTCATCTGTTTATGCTACAGTGCTCGTTTAAGTATCAAATGAAAGCTGAGATTCAGGGCTATTTTTTTGATACTAAACATGTATCTTAAGAAATTATGAGCGCTTAGAAAAAAATGATTTAATAAAATAAAAAATTTTTGCGACTACGAGACTATACGGGACGGGGGGAGGGGGGAGAGGCGCTACTATTAGAGGTATTACGGCCAATATCACGGTACGGTCAATATCATTTAAAAATATACAAGTAATAATCCTAATTTGCTACCAAAATCTCAAATTTTCTCTCGATTTCCAGCAAAAGATGTCTCGTTTTCTTCTCCGCGTCGACATCTCACCGCTCACGAAGTTTTCTCTCGAAATCGATCGAATTAAAGAAATAATAATGAATTTTCGAAATCTTTCTAATCAAAAATCTTTATTCAAGCTCATTTTTATATTTATTTTAAATAATTCTAGAGATCTTTCCATTGAAAAATTCGAAAAAACTCTTTCAAAAAAAAAAAGATCAAATTTTTGATCTCTTTTACAGGGTCACTGTAATAATTCCTTATATAATTCCTTATATAATTTCTTTAAAATCTTTAAATATTTCTTTAAAAAACAGATAATTTATTCGAATTTACATATAAAAGTCTTTTATTTATTCGACTTTTTTCAATTTTTCATCATTTTTCCTCATTTTTCAATCATTCAAATCGAAAAAAAATGCGTGTGCTTAAAAATTGTACTTTTAAGAATAAATTTACTCTCAAAAACACTCAAAAATACACAAAAATGGGAGTGAGACAAATGCGACCTTTTTTTGCGCACTCGGACATTTGCGCACCTTTTTTTCCGCACTTAGCCCATTAGCGCACCTTTTTTCGCGTTTTAAAAAAGCTCTAAAAGCAAAAAAGCTAATATTAACCAATTTCTATTCCAAAAGTTGTTTTTCTAGGTAATTTTAGGGCGTAGAAACGAAATTTTGACATATCAGAGCTTGTGGAAGCAAACGGACGGAGTTATACAAAGAGAAAACACAATTTTCTTTCTATACAATTTTCTGTATTTTGATCTAGCCGTTTTGTCTTGTTTTGGTTGGTTGGTTGGTTCCACACGCTCTGTTATGTCAAAATTTCGATTCTACGCCCTCAAATTACCTAGAAAAACAAGTTTTGGAATAGAAATTGGTTAATATTAGCTTTTTTGCTTTTAGAGCTTTTTTAAAACGCGAAAAAAGGTGCGCTAATGGGCAAGGTGCGGAAAAAAAGGTGCGCAAATGTCCGGGTGCGCAAAAAAAAGGTCGCATTTGTTCCACTCCCCAAAAATACACAAAAATACACCAAAATCAAAAGGAAAACTCGACAAAATTGAATGCTAATCGAAAATATGCAAATTTTTTTGGTGAAATTTTCAATTTTACATGTTAAAATGACAAGAACCATCGCTTTTCCTGATTTTTAAAAAAAAAACAAATTTAATATTGAATAAGACACTAGATTTCTTTAAAAACAAGCTAATTAAAGAAGAAATCTTGATTTTTAAATAATTTGTGATAATTTGAAGTACCGGTTGTTCAAGTGAAGAAAAAAAATGACTCTAGATGGGCATTTTAAATGAATCGTCAACCTTTGAAAGCCTATAACTTTTCTTAGAAACAATATTATTCTAAGCTTTTAATATCATTGAAAAGAGGATCTTTCAGGCTTTCAAATGATACCAAATAGAGCTTGATTTGAGGTTTTTAATTCTTACGAAAACCGCACCGAAGTTGGATTGACCTCAAAGCGAAGCTTTTACCATTTCCTCGAAGCGTTTACCATTTCCACGATTAGATTTCCCCAATTTTATATTATTAGCTGTATTTGGTATTATTTGAAAGCCTGAAATCTTCTCTTTTCAATGATATTAAAAGCTTAGAATAATATTATTTCTAAGAAAAGTTATAGGCTTTCAAAGGTTGACGTTTTATTTAAAAAAATACCCCAACTTCGGTGCGGTTTTCGTAAGACTTAAAAACCTCGAATCAAGCTTTATTTAGTATCATTTGAAAGCCTGAAATCTCCTCTTTTCAATGATATCAAAAGCTTAGAATTATATTGTTTCTAAGAAAAGTTATAGGCGTTAAAGTGTGACAACTGTGAAATCAAAAATGATTTCTCCGGGATTTCTCTAGAAATCCATCAATATCGCCGGATTCGACTTTTCCGATTTGAGCTTTTTCGAGAGCGAAAACTTCAGAGAATCTTCTGAAAATAGGGAATTTGAAAAATTGAATTGAAAATAAAAAACTGACTTTGCGGATGGAAATGCCTTTGTCCAAGGTATTGAACGAAATCGACGAGCGTGCTCCGATCGGTTGACGTCACCTCGAAGAGGCGCACTGAAAACGATTCGAGTTTACTAATGCAGATGATGATCGGCTATGAGGAATTCGAAAGTGAGATCAAAATCAACCAAATGACTTTCCAGGCGTGTAAAACTTCCATCGAAAATTTGACGTCAAAAAAGAAACAAAAATCTGCATCCGGGAACGAACCTGGGTCCTGTGGGTGGAAGCCTAAGGCGTTATCCACTAGGCCACCAACGTATCTTTCGCCCGATAGAAAGAAGCCTTCTAAAGTGTCCGCCTTACGGATTATTAAAGGGAAAGCTAAAGTGCATCTGGGCTGATGCCTTAAAAGGCTTCTTCCTAGGCGAGGCTAGGGGCGTTGGTGGCCTAGTGGATAACGCGATAGGCTTCCACTCACAGAATCAGGGTTCGATCCCTGGTGCAGCTTTTTGTTTTGTTTTTTGTTTCAACTTCTGCAACTAGTTAGGAAATTCGGAAGTGTACTTTGTGCTTTGTAATCGCACGGTTTCTGGTGCTTTGTAGAAGTGTACTTTGTGCTCTAAAGCTTTCTAATCCACAGTAGGAGTTATCCTTATGAAAACGCATGATATTACTTTGTTTCCCATTTCCTAGGCTACTTCCCGGCTTCCAAAATAAGTATACCAGATGGTGTGCGTTTGTACAGCACAAAGTACAGCTGACAAACTGGACAATGCTGTGTGCCAAAAATTGTGCGTTTCTTGAGAACAAAGTACGTGTTAAAGTAAGTTGTAAGTTCAAGAATATTCTAGAATTAAAAGTATTCAATTGTGAGCATTCAATTGTGAGTCTTAGACTTTAAATTCCCAAGCAATCACTAAAACAAACCCCTTTCCCTTTGTGCCCAAGCTTGCGCGAAATCAGCATCGACTTTTCGCCCAGGCAAATCGCACATTGTACCCAAAACGACGATTGGAACCTAGATTTAGAAGTATTCCAAACTCCAAAACCCAAACCAAACCTCTTTCTTCTCTTTTCCGAATTGTTTCTCGATGAATTTCTTGAGTAAATCCATTCGATTGAACGACTCATGATCATTGACGGAATAAACCAAAACGAATGCATCAGCGACCTAGAAAATCTTTGAAAATTAAAAGACAAATAGATAGCTTTCACTTGTATATATGGCCTTCTCAACTCGATCGGCCCATACTCTGGGATGCCGGCTGTATCGTGGAAGACAAGGATTTCTCTGGGTCGATCCGCTTCTTCTAATAACACTTGATAAGTGTCATCTAAAGTCGGCATGTATGGCATTTTCGTGGCATCCTCGAGACAAGCCACTTGTCGAAGGATCGATGTTTTTCCGCAACGCTTTGCGCCGACAACAACTACCTGAAGATTTTCTGGGTTTGTAGTGGATCTTTTTGGATTCTTGAGGGACTGTATCTGATTGGGCTTTATTTTATTGAGCTACTGGGTTACTGTGCTACTGGAACTATTGGATTACTGAGTCCTACTGGACTACTGTATCTTATTGAATTCTTCATTCTTCATTACTGTCTAACGATAAGTCACGACTGGTTCCCGTATGCTTGTATTTTGGATCTTACGGCCTTGTCTCCGCACTACTTTAAGCTACAATGAATGTACGATGTACTGATGTACTACAATGTACATCCAGTACTACAATGTACATGTACGCTGTCAAAGATAGCTCTTGAAATCTAGTACTTTTGATATCAAAAGCATGGAAAAAGTCTAGAAGCTGAGGAAAATTATTTTCTAAAAAGAAGGCTACGCGACTGTATGAGCAGATGGCTTTCTATTGGAATATACTATTAGAATACTATTCGAATACCATTAGAATGAATTGAAATCCTCTACCCGCATTGCTCCTCGTCCCATCCAGCGCGGAGCATCAGCTGAAAGAGTGGCGCCAACAGTGGAAAGAATCGGGCCAGCGGATGAGTGAAAAAGAGAATATGAAGAATTGGAGGTGGAAGACCGGGAACCGCGACGGACTGGAAAATATGATGAACAACTTGCTGCAAAGCAAAGCCAAGCCAATTTTCCCTCTTTTCCTTGTCTTTTTGGCTAGATGGCTTTTTGGCTATGTCTCAATTCGGACAACTTTTTGGAAAAGTAGTTTTTGAATCATTAATCTATCTCAAGGATTAATTGTTATATATAGATTTGTAGCCCTAATTCTCAGCTACATTTCTATACTAAAAACTTTGCAATCAGATGGATACAGCTCATTTAACAAGGGTTTGAATGAGCACTAGTCGATCCCTGTCTCATGCTCATTCAAACGCTTGTTAAATGAGCTGTATCCATCTAATTGCAAAGTTTTTAGTATAGAAATGTAGCTGAGAATTAGGGCTACAATTATATATATAACAATTGATACTTTGAAATAGATTAAAAATGGAAAAACTACTTTTCTAAAAGTTGTTCAAATAATTTTGAAAATGTCGAACATAAAGCTGAGAATTTAACTATTTAAGAGCTATTGGACTATTCCTTTAATTGAATACCTTTTTCAAAAACGATTGGTGATTGAAGAGAGCTTGATGGACCCTCAATGCACAAATAGTCGCACTCTAAAAAGAAATTCTTGAATCGCTTTCTTTTTGTCAGCTTTTACGCTCCCTACCAGTTTTTTTTTGATCTTTCTTTTTAAGGAAAAGGTGTTTAAGAAAGAGAATTTCATTGTTAAAATGGTTTCTAGTTGTCTAAAGCTATCCAATTGTCTATTTAATTGTTTAAAACAACTAAATCAATGAAATCCGTTTGCCAATTGGTGGTCTCACTAAAATGAATAGCACCAATCGATTGGCGATGCCGAAAGAACGAGTCTCAAGCTGAATAGCTCCTTTTTTGCTTAAATTTAGTTGAATTTGACTGAATTTTAGCTGAATTTGGCTGACCTTGACTGAATTTGACTGAATTTGACTGAATTTCGCTTAATTTTAGCTGAATTTGACTGAATTTGACTGAATTTGACTGAATTTCGCTGAATTTGGCTTGAATTTAGCTGAATTTTAGCTGAATTTGACTGAATTTGGCTGAATTTGGCTTAAATTTAGCTGAATTTGACTAAATTTCCGTTAAATTCAGGAGTTAAGTTTTGTCGCTTGATTTTCTTGGCATTGCTCAGTCTAATCCTGAGCTTATTTGGTATCATTTGAAAGCTTGAAAGCTCCGCCTTTCAACGAGAACAAAACTAGATGCCTTACTGGGTGCCCCGGGCGCCGAATCCTTCACCGCCGCAAAGCCATAGGGGATTGAGAGTTGTCGACCGAGCGGCGCTCGACAACAGGGGCCCAGTGAGTGCCGTCTCACTTTGTGATTCGCATTCTTTTGAGTCGAATGAGAACGGGAAACTGTCACCATTTGAATGCAAACAATTCAAATCTAATATTAATAATTGAATATTTTAAAAAAATTTCTGCGATTCCATCAGAAATTCTTGAGAAATAGTCAAAACAAAAAAAAAGAAACAAAAAAAATCATCGATAAGGAAAGGCTTTTTCTTTCAACTCAAATCTATAAACGCATCTTTTCTAGTGCGCTGAGTGCTATTTGTTTTCATTTTATGGAAGAAAAATCAAGCTTTCAGTGCTTTAGAAAGTTTGTGTTTACATTTTTAAGCTCTTTTTTTATTTAGATTCTGTAAAAGTTTAAAATTTCGATTTTTTTTTAAGTAATAAATGGCTTTTAGCTATTTTGAATGATGATTTTGAAAGAATGAATGGTAAAACGGCTCAAAAAAGAGGAAAATGAGTTTTGAAATTGCGAAATCCATGACAAGGCAAAAGGCAAAAAAGGGAATGGGAAAGAGAATCAGAAAGAGAATCAGAAAAGGATGATTGTACAAAAAAGGAAAAGAAAAGAAAGAATATGGAAGAGATTTTATAAAAATAACGAGAATTGAAAAAAAAAGAATCTGGAAATTTAGAATAAAATGAAAATCCAAAAACGAAATCCAAAAACGAAAATGAGCTCTGTTCTTTGAATGTACTTTCATCTAATTTCTGTCAACTCAGAACAGAAATTAGAAACAACTCAGAACAGAAATCATCCTTTCTTCGGCACTTAATTTCATTTTTCTTGGGAAAAATAACAAATCGAGTACACTAGAAGGTTGCGTTTAGAAATTTGAGCATAAAGTAGACGAGTTTTTGTAAAATTTAGAGAAATTGGCAAGTGCTTTGTGTCAAAAAAAGAGAAAGAAAAGGAAGGAAAAGAAAAGAAAGAAAGAAAAGAAAGAAAGAAAAGAAAGAAAGAAAAGAAAGGAAGAAAGAGAAAGAAAAGAAAGAATGAAAGAAATGAAAGAAAGAAATGAAAGAAATGAAAGAAAGAAAAGAAAGAGAAAGAAAGAGAAAGAAAGAAAAGAAAGAGAAAGAAAGAAAGAAAGAAAAGAAAGAGAAAGAAAGAGAAAGAAAGAGAAAGAAAGAAAAAAAGAGAAACAAAACAAAAGAAACAAAAGAAACAAAAAAAAGAAACAAAAAGAGAATTAAAACCGAAAAATTTGACAATGATTCAATTTTTGGCAAAACTTTTTCAGAAAAGAAATAAAACATTCAAAATTTCGACTGAAATTCTTAGAAAACCTTTGAAATGTCTAAAAAAACTGAAATTTAACCAAAAACAGTCCTACAATTTTCTCCTGTACTAAGAAAAAATTAACCCTTTTGCAAGAAATAAAAATCAATCCGTTTCTTAAATAAACCTAAACCTAAACCTAAACCTAAAACAACCTTTTAACCATATAAGTATGGTTACAAGGTTGTTTTAGGTTTAGGTTTATTTAAACTGAAATTTTACCAAAAACAGCCCCACAACTGCACCCTGTATAATATTTTAAATTTTCTTTAAAGATTTCTTTAAATTTTTTTAGTTTATATGAAAATTGAATGAAATAATGAAATAATGAAAGAAAATTGAATCAATTGAATCTTTTTTTGAACTAAAAACTTTACAGTATCGTCGCTTTGTCATTGATTTAGTCGAAACTTTCAAAATCCTCCGTTGTAAACAGATTAGCCCTTTGTTTATAGACTTTTTCAAATTTAAACCGCGGTCAGGGCCCAGAAGTGGCTCATTCCTTTTGCAAATTCCCTTTGCTTCCAATGCCTCTTTATCAAATTCATTTCCCGTTAGAGCCGCTAGATTATGGAACTTGCTCCCAAACGACATACGAGAAATTCAGTCGCTTTTCATATTCAAGAAACGTATCGATGCTTTAGATCTAGTGGCTCTTTGCCGTAAGTAATTGGCTTATTGATTTCAGTATGTATTGTATGATTAAGTATCACTGTGCATTTCTCTATGATTTCTTTCACTTTATCGTTTGAATAAAGTATTATTATTAATTGTTGAAGAATTGCTGAAGAATTGTGGTTATGTATCAAAAACAAGGGCAAATATCCTTTAGCAAGGAATAAGAATCATCATCAATCAAAAATCAATCATTTCCTTAAATCAATAAATGTTTAATCTTAAAACAATAAATCAATTCAATAAATGTTACAACCTTGTAATCATACTTATACTTTTAATATTTTAAATATTAAAAGTACTGTGTAATATTTTAAATTTCTTTAAATTTCTATAAATTTATTTCAATTTCTATAAATTTCTTTAAATTTCTTTAAATTTATTTAGTTTATATGCAGTTTAATGAAATAATGAAAGAAAATTGAATGAATTGCTGAAGAATTGTGGTTGTGTATCGAAAACAAGGGCAAATATCGGTTGGGGAAACGAGTGTGGCAAATAAAAAAATCGAGGAAAAGAAGAGAAAGGTATTTGAATGAAAAGAAGAAATATAGATTGGGAAAAAGAAGATAAAAAGAGAAGGAGGAGACGATGTGAAGGACTGGTTGTGGGGGGGGAGAGGCTGACTGGGGAGAGGCTGACTAGGGAGAGACTGACTAGGTAAGGCTGACTGGGGAGAGACTGACTAGGGAGAGATTGACCAGGTAAGGCTGGCTAGCGAAAGGCACGAACTCAAGGTGAGCCTTTGTGGAATCGAGTATAAGAAATCCAAATCTCAATCTCAAATCAAAATCTGCCAAATCACTTTCTAGGCGCGTCTTCAATCGAAAATTCAATCTAGAGGTTTTTCCAAAAGAAAAACGAAAATGAAAAGCTGAGTCCGGGGCCGAACCAGGATCCTCTGATCGGTAGCCTAATGTGTTATCCACTAGGCCACCAAAGTACTTCGGCCGGGCTAGAAAGAAGCTCCTTAAAGCATTCGTTTAAACGTCTACGACGCCAAATTTTCGATTTAAGTTCGCCTAGGAAGTCATTTCGCAGATTTTGGTTGCGAAATCTAGACCTTGATGGCCGAGTGGATAGGGCGCTGGGCTGTCGCTCGCAGGGCCCGGGTTCGATCCCTGATGCGGCTTTTTTGTTTAAATATCTAGAAAAATAAACAGCGAACTTTGCAAGCTTTTTGAGAGCAGGAATAGATACCAATTAATTACTAAATACCATTCAAATATACTAAATACGTTCATTTACTAGCCCAACCTGATTAAAATCGGGTTTTATGCAAGCTAAACTCTATACAGCTTTTTGTTTTGTTGTTCTTTTTCTATAATTTAGATAGCAACTCTGATAGTTTTTTAAAAGTTTAAGTTTAGACTATAGCTTGGTTAGCAGCTTGGTTAGCAGCTTGGTTAGAAGCTTGGTTAGAAGCTTGATTAGCAGCTTGATCTTGACGCTATTAGGTATCAGAAATGCAATAGATCGAATAGCTCAATAGTTTGGTTGAATATTGATCGATTGAAAGTCCAGAGGGTTACTGGTAAATCGAATTTTCAAGTTTAGATCTTATTGGAGTTACTGGTAAATCGAATTTTCAAGTTTAAACAGATGAAACAATGAAATAATGAAACATAAGCTTTCATTAAACATAAGCTTTCATAAGTTTATCGTAAAGAATCCTATTCTAGAAATGATCCTAAAAATCTGAATCTTTCAAGAATTCTTAAAACCAAACCGTTTCCAAACGTTTCCTCCTCAAAGAGTGAAGTTTTTCCCTTTCTTGTGCTCTCAATCAATGTGTTCTCAGAATCTTTTGACGGGAAAAAGAAAGCTGTGATCGAGTTTCTAAAAGTAGTAATAGATTTCATAATTCTCAACAAAAAAAGAAAGATAAATAAAGATAAAAGAAAGAGAAATGAAAGAGAAACCTCTTGCCGAGCTTTCTAAAGCGTTGACGGGCTATTTGGCTTAATAGATTTATAGATTTGTATTTTAAAAAAGGGAAAATAGTGAAATCTCTAGTGATTTTATTTAAATACATAAGAAATCTACCTTCTACTATTGTTTGATCGTTCTTTTTCGTCTTTTAGCTGAACAATCGGAGTGATGAGTCCACCAGGCGACGGTTGAATTGATTTCCGGCGAGAGTTCTTCTCTAAAAATTAAAATTTTCAATAATCTTTATATAAATTAACAGTTTTTCTATTAGTTTTTCTATTAGTTTAACTTAAAATTCAGTTTTTTAATGAACTTTTTGAGTTCATCATGTTTTTGGATGTTAAATAATGCTCGTTTGACGAAGTTAAACTCTCCAATTGGTCAGGTAGATTGGTTATTGGGTTGGTGAATTGAAAACTGCCAGCTATTGTCATATGTGACAGTTTGAGCACTTTCTAGAAGTGTCACAGTTTGAGCACTTCTCTTCGGTTACTCCGGCTAATGTCAAGAAAGTACGCGATCGTCTAAGATTAAACCCTAACCAATCGGCTGGTGGCACAGAAAATGGGTCTGAAGAGAAGCTCCGTCAACACAATCATCAAGAATGTAGATCAAGATAGGCTCAAAACCAGAACTATTGGGTTGATGAAGTGAAAACTGCGGGCTATTGTCAGTTTGAGCACTTTCTTCAAAAGAAACCCATTTTGGTGTCAATGGAAAAGTTGTAGAGAATCAAAAATCAAGCTTAGATCCAAATTTTCAGAACGATTCAAAAACTGGTTTTCAAGAAATGTCAAATTTACGAATTTGCACAAATGATATGGCGGAAAAGGAGGGGGAGGGGGGTACGGTATCTGTCTGTCTTTCTGTCTGTCTTTCTGTCTGCCTTACTGTACGGGCATTTTTTCAGCCGTATTTTGACCAATATTTCATTTTGCATGAATATTATATTTTAAGTTGTTTTTGGTGTCATTCCAATTTCATTCTGCATCAAATGATCGTTAAAATAGTCAATATATTGGGTTGGTGAATTGAAAACTGCCGGTTATTGTCATATGTGACAGTTTGAGCACTTTCTTCGAAAGAAACCCATTTTGGTGTCAATGGAAAAGTTGTAGAGAATCAAAAATCAAGCTTATATCCAAATTTTCAGAAAGATACACTTAGTAGTTTCGCCTAAAATGCAATAATACCTAGCTTGCCTTCACCAGCCACAATTCCTATTTGAACGAAACTAAGGAATCCATTTCAAATCCCAAACTATGAAAAATCTAATCCACAATCCAATCCAATCCAGAAAGTATTCATTTCAATATGAATAGTGTGACATAACCAAATATAACCAAATATAACCCAATAAAAAACCTGCCCTAAAGATGTTGCAAAGAAAAGTTATGGGAAAAAAGGTAGCAGCTAGGATCTAACAGCTAGGGTCTAGCAGCTAGGATCTAGCAGCTGAGATCTAACAGTTGAGATCTAACAGCTCAGATCTAGCAGCTAGGATCTAGCAGCTAGGATCTAGCAGCTAGGATCTAGCCGCTTCGATCTAGCAGCTAGGATCTAACAGCTAGGATCTAACAGCTGGGATCTAGCTGGATCGAACCCGTGAGCTCTCAACTAGGATACAAGACTCCCAACCATTTGATCATTGCACTTAATCGATAGTTAAACTTTAAATATACCTTCTCAGCACTCACCATAAACTCCAGCTTCTCCATTATAATTCAAATTCATATTGTTATTGTTTGAAAGTGAAGTCAAATAGGAGCTCCTTCGCTCAATATTCTTTTTCATTCTAGAGAATTTCATAATTCGAATTTACAGAAAAATAGAAAAATAGTGAAAAAAAAAGAAATATTATAGAAAATATTGATGAATAAATCTAATAAAAATTTTAGAAATAGTAAAATTGATGTGAAGTAATGAGTAAAAGGATTCGTTCAAAGAAAGCGACTTAGTTCAAAGAAATGATTCATCATTTCCCCTGTTTCACCCACTCACTTGGTTAATAAGAAAAAAGGTCAATAAGAAATTAGCAGAAAAAAATGATTTCAAAAACATTTTTCGACACAAAATTTTGTATTTTCTTTAAATCTTTATCAATTTTTTAAAAAAAAAAATTTTTTTTTTTTTCAATTTAATTTTAATTTTGTTTTTAATTTCATTAAAATTCAAACCAAAAAAAAACATTTTTTTCTACTTTGGATCTCTTGATCTTTATTGAGTTAAGAAATTAAGGGCTAGAAAGGCATTTAGATTAGATAGATATAGATTTAAGCTCAAAGTACATTATAAAGAAATAATGACCATCAATTCGCCGACCCCGATTTGGAAGGAGGACAGCTCAAAAAATTCTCGGCGGGACTCGAAACCGGGACCTTCGCTTACCGGACAGGGTGCTAACCATTACACCACAACGCAGTCGATTTCCTTTGCTCTAGAGGGAGTTAAGTGATTTGGGTATAGTGACGCCAAAAAACGGCGAAGGCTCAGCCCCAAAGAAAGCCCCTAAAGGGAGGATAGAAAGCCCGAAAACCCCGGGTACAAATTTTTTGGCCTCAGCTCATCTCGAAATATTCTTTCTTCGAAGAATCAAAAACGAAATGCTCCAGGTGGGACCGAACCCCTCACCTTTCGCCTAAGAGACCGGAGATCTGGCACTGCGCCATTTGAACAGACTCACGCCTCGCCTCTTCGCCGGCTTCTATCCTCCCTTTAGGGGCTTTCTTTGGCGCTGAGCTTTCGCCGTTCTTCGGCGTCACCATACCCAAATGTCCTCCTTCCAAATCTTGAATTTTAATTCTAGTCTGTTACAACTGACCCTTGTGCTTTGTTTTTAAAAACATACCATTTCTGGTGCATTGAATTCTTTATTTTTCTCGCGACACCAAGCATCTGGCGAGAAAAATAAGGATTTTTTTCTTTTTTTATTTTAAATAGCACATTTACGATATTCTAAGGTTTTCTAAGGAATTTTAGCTTTATTATTTAAAAGACGGTCAAGAAAATGGCAGTACAGAGAGAGAAACAAACAGACAAACAGACAAACAGACAAACAGACAAACAGACGGACACTACTCTTTTATATCTAGTAAATCTTTTCGAAAAGGAAACGAAAAAACGAAACTGAACACTGCCGTTTATAAAATGTTTCAAAAGACGATTAAAAGACGACTAAAAGACAAATATTGGTTTACAAAAGACAAAAAAACTTGGTGCAACTGTCCCGTTTTGAAACTGGAATTGTGAAAAATCGAGAAAAAGAGACTGCTCTCGAAAAAGAAATGCAAATTTCCCGCCGGAAAACTAGGCAAATCAGGAAATCGATTGAAAAGTTAGGCTTGCGTACTTTGTGCTCAAATCTGTAAACGAACCCTTTCTAGCGCATTGGGTTTCTGATTTTCTACGCCTTCTACAAGAAATTGCTAAAAGAAATTGCTAAAAGGAAGTGCTAAAAGAAAGTGCTAAAAGAAAGTACTGCAAGAATCTACTGCAAGAAAGTACTGCAAGAAAGTACTGCAAGAAAGTACTGCAAGAAAGTACTGCCAGAAAGTACTGCAAGAATCTACTGCAAGAAAAATGATGATTTGTGTGCGCTAGAGAGGGTTTGTTTACAGATTTTCTGCACAAAGTACATTAGAAATGAATAGCAAATGGATATCGACTTGAGCTTTAACAAAATATCGATGTGTTCATAAGTTTTTGAATCAAAATTTCACGTGTTTTGTCGGGGGGGCGAAAACGGAGATGATCGTTCCATCAAAACAACCATTTTGAGCATCAAAAAGAAGATGAGTCAAAGAATTTTGAGATTTAAATGCTTAAGTGCAAGGTTTTAAGTGCACCAGATCGACTACGTTTAAACGTTTTCAAGCACAAAGTACACTTTGGTCTGTAAACCTATGAACGCATCCTTTCTGGCGCACTGGATGATTCATTTTCTTGTAGAAACGCTTCGATGAAACAAGAAAATAAGGGATTGGAAAGAATAGACTGGAAAGAAATTCAGAGCACTAGAAAGAATGCGTTTACAAACTTAAGCATAAAGTACAGATTGAAGAGAAGATCAAATAAAATTAGCGAAGAATTTCTTTTATTGTGATCAATTGTTTAGAAATTCGTTGATCAGGGGAATTTTTGTGAAAAAAAACAAAAGAAAAAGTGAAAAAGAGCTAACAGATCAGGTTTCAGAAGGATTTTTGTTGCTTAAAATTGATTAAAATTGATTAAAATTGATTAAAATTGATTAAAATTGATTCAAAATTGATTCAAAATTGATTCAAAATCGATTAAAATTGACTAAAACTGGATTAAAATTGATCAAAATTGACTAAAATTGATCAAAATTGACTAAAATTGATTAAAATTGATTAAAATTGATCAAAACTTGATTAAAATTGACTAAAATTGACTAAAATTGACTAAAATTGATTAAAATTGCTTAAAATTGATTCAAATTGCTTAAAACTGCTTAAAATTGCTTAAAATTGACTAAAATTGACTAAAAGTGATTAAAATTGACTAAAATTGACTAAAATTGACTAAAATCGATTAAAATTGCTTAAAATTGCTTAAAATTGCTTAAAATTGATTAAAATCGATTAAAATCGATTCAAATCGATTCAAATTGATTCAAATTTATTCAAATTGTTTCAAATTGATTAAAATTGGATTAAATTGGATTAAAATTGACTAAAATTGATCAAAATTGATCAAATTCGATCAAAATCGATCAAAATCAATTAAAATTGATTAAAATTGCTTAAAATTGATAGAAATATAAAGCTGGTTTTGAAAAGAAAGCTTCTTTTTTAGCTAAAAACTAGTTCTCAATCGATTTTAATCGATTTTAAGCAAAAAAAGTTCCCAAAAACAGTTCTTAAATCAGAAAATAGATGGATGAAGTGATTCAGATTGATACGAAAGAGAAACGTGGAAAAAAAACGATATCAAAACGCAAATAAAACTCATTTTTTGGCGTGAATGCTTATAGATTTCTTATCTTTTTTCTTTTTTCAGAAAAAATTTCAGAAAAACGATCAAAAGGAGGAAAAAAAATCGTAAAATGAAAGGAAATGAGCGAAATTTTGATGTAAGTTTAAAAATTTAGTTAAATCGCTTTAGATTAAAGCTACAGTAATCCAATAGATCCAGAAAATCCAGTAGATTTTCTAGACCAATTGCTTTTAAATTTTTTTCGCGTAGGCACACTTTTTAGAAAACGCATTACTCGACAATTACTCAAGTAAAAAATTACTCATGCAAATTTACTCGATTTATTGCAATGATTTACTTACTCGCGAGGAACACACTCTATTTGAAACACAAT